TCCTCTAGCTCAGGGGCCTGAGTACCCTGGGGATGACCAGTTATGGTTTTTCAAAAAGCTTCCCTGCCCATTAATTTTAAAAAGGAAGGGAATATGATTTTCATTACAATGGAAACCACAGACAGAAACTTACTTGGGCAAAATAAAATGACTCCGGGACAAATTTTGCAGTCACTAAGACTACCATTCACACGGAATGAGCCAAAGTGCAGGCACTAAAGACAAAGTTAATCGGAAAAGTCACCTTGACACAGTCAAAGCAGAGATAACTGTGGAAAAGCAAGTTACTGCACTTCTGATTTTGAAAACATCTTTTTATTTCTGTTTTTACATCAGGTAATAGCCTAGCCCCATGAAATACTACATTTTGAGTGTGTGATTGGAACTGCAGTTTGTGTGTCATGTTCTGAGGTTTAGCGAACATTATATCCCTTGAAGAGATAAAGGCAACCACAACATTCCTTGTACAAAACTAAGATATTGGAAACACTTTGAGAGACAAGGGTGTCTCCTGTTTCTTGCCTACTTTATCTCTGGCAGGATTGTATTTACCATGCAGTCGTGCATAATTTTGTTCCAGTCTTCTCCAGTAACTATTCTGAAGAGTACAGTAATAGCCTTGCCAGCTGATGAAAAATTTGCATGTCTGTTTTAAAGAATAAGAGAGAAAGAGAGATCATTTCACATCCCAGAACTAAAACATTGGCAAGAAAAAATGCAAATCACTTCCATTTTCTACTGTTCTACTATTTTAAACTGAAAATAGTTACAGTATTATTTGAATAAGCTCATTGAATTATTTATTGCATGACTTAAGATATAATAACTGAACTTTAGCTCAGACACAGGTCTGAGTATTTGGCTCATTTTATCAAAGAGGTAAAGCAGACTCAGGGCCAGATCCTATTTCCTGTCTCCATTCTTTTCCTGAAGTCTGATGATGCTATTGATTGGGAAATCTCCAGTTAACAGCCAGTTCACAGAACTGTCCCCTCTCTGTATCAGCCTGGTATATGGATCCTACTCCTGGGTGATGCCGATAAGGTGTAGTAGGTACACCGTGTTTCAGCAGCTTGCGGCTAGCACAGTGCTGCTTTGAAGCATTTCCTAGCTGGCCTAACGAAGAACAGCTCTCAGGCTGCTCTGTGCTAGATTGGCTGTCATTTGGTCCAACGCACAAGGACTGGAAAGATGGCTCAGTGCCTCTTATCAGAAATTCTGTTTAGAGCTCTTCAGCTAGACCTTGGGACTTGTCTGTTTTTTACCATGGATAAACTTTGCTCTAGCAGAATGTGATTTTTTTGGGTTGTTTAAAGAACATCCCCATGAGGCAGTACATACTGTACCTGTTAATGTTCTCTCCATATTTCACTGTACCGAATAAAACCACTCCAGCAAAAGCATAACAAAGAAGCAGTAAGAACATTCCCACTATGATGAAGAAACTCTTGTACATGCTGACAACCACAGTCAGAAGTAGCATTTTTAGTGTCACCTGGAAGGACAGAGAAAAAGCAAACTATGATGCCATTTAGGAAAGCAGAGATAAAAGAGAAAAGAGACTTATTGCACTTGCCATTTTGACAAGGAATTCTTTACACATATATGTTAATGGATGAGCCCAGTGAAATGGTACATTATGAATCTGATTGGCACTGAACATTTTGTGTCTTCCTCTGAAATTTAGTGTGCTTTTTACGTGTTAAAGACATCAGCATATCTGCCTAATTTTCAAGGTCAAGATACTGCTCCTCAAAGAGGATGGGTAGGATAATACAGTGTAGGATAATACAGCAATGATACAGCATAAGCTTAACTGTAACTTTCTAGGATCAGTATACTCCAGAAGTATCAAAATTAGCATTGCATGAACAGTGGTGCAGTACACTACTTTGGGCTTCTCTGAAAGTGATGCTGTTAAGTGGAAATCACAGATACTGCAGCCTACCTAAAGAAATGTGTTGATGTATAGAGAAGGGGATTTCCTTAGGATCAGCACAGCTTGATTAAACTAGCTAATTTCTCACACAAATTGGCCAAAGAGCTTAAGAGGAGAGCATAATTTTTGAAATTACATAGGCAGTGGGCCTAAATAATAGATATTACTTTCTCACGCATGCACATGGTACATTTTACTCTTGACAAAGTTATTGCCTTAGATTGCCCTAACACCCTTAAGCACTTTGGATGCTATGGAAAATTCTCTTTAATGGGACTGAGGGTAGCAGTTTTCTTTAGAATCATGCCAAACCGATAACTCATGCTGACTTTTAGCTATCACATTGCATAACAAGAAAAATTAGTGAAACTGATGCAGCTCCTAACATGAAAGCACAAATGAGTACGTTAAAACCTTGACAAAACTTTAGAATCAATCAGAAAGCTTTGAAGGCAATCACTTGGCCTGGCTGCATAGAAGCAGCAAGGACTTTTCATTTGACTTCCAGGGCTGTACAGGCTCTGTGTAGTTTGATTGAAGGAAAACTTTTTATCTTCACTGAACAAACCCTCTGACTTACTGTTCTTAACCCCAGCAACCCAGTATAGCAGTCTTTTTATCACATTTACTTTAATACGTCAGTCTTCACAGAAAATGTTTGGATAGTCTAAAAAGTTCTACAGCAAGAGAACGTAGAGTGTCACCACTTCTTAAACAAATGTGTTTGTTCTCTGCCTATGCTTATTCTGCCAGCCGACTCCCAATTACACCAGAGCAAATCCAAACACAAAAGAAATGTAAACTTTAGAAGTGACTTGCTTTGACGCCATCTCAGTGTTTCCAGAAGAATTTCTTGGCCCAATATTTTTTTAAATGGAACGTAAATCCTTTACTGCAATAAGACATACATTGCAGAGATACAAGACACAGACCCGCACTCTGGAGGAAGAAACTTCTGTAAGAGAGCACTATCATAACCAGATGAGTGCATCAACCACCACTCCACTAGTCTCGCAGAGAAAGTAAGTAAATAGCACGCACATCACACCACACTGAGATGGCAAGACTGAAAGCAGCACCATGTATGTTCAGAGTTTTAGAGCGCATTTTTTAAAAACTGTGCAGTATTGCAGTTGCACTTTTTTTTTTCAAAAAATGCAGCTTTTTCAATAACCATTATATAGTGCTATTATACAGTATACCGAACATCCTGACATTTTAAAGACTGTGTAAAATTGGAGACTGCTGCTCGAAGTCTCCTGGTTTTTTGTCATGTAAAATAGAAACTTACAGAATGTGCACTAGAGATGCGTAGCAACTAGTCCTTTAATCTATATGTGAGCACTGCAATGGTTGTAGTTCCTACTTTATACTTACATGCTTCCCACAAATTGAGAAAAACCTGAAGACAATTACGCATGCCCCCATCATGTATGTGTACGCATTCTGGAACAGAAACACAGAAGACTTAATATATTGTCCCCCAGGGATCTCACAGAAAGATCAGGATAACTGGTCTTTTAATAATGTAGGGCAGTTGCCATATGAAGTAAGAGAAATCATAAACTAGTATTTTTACTAGAAATCATAAACTATATACCAATATTTCAGTAACAGTGGAGCAGTAAGAAACTAACAGAAGATCTCTACCACTTCAAAACCACTAACCCAACCTCCCCACGCATCAAACCAAAAAACCTTCAATCCTCTGTTAGCTGGGCTGTAACTATGTCCAGCAGCCCCAGTCTACTTGTCTAGGCAGCTGCTGGCTTACAGAAACTCCTTAGGTTTTCCAAGCTACTCAGCAGCAAGGAGCAATTTGTGGATGTCATGGCAAAATGACTAGCCACACAAGACAGGTTCTCCTCCAAACAGAGCCTGGGGCAGACAAGAGAAAAGCCGGTGACTTCCACAACTTGTGATTGGTGACAAGCATCAACTATCCCTTCTGCTTCCCTCGTAAGGAAGGGAACCAGGGGTTTAGCCAACTTTAAAAAAATAGGATGAGATGGAGGGAGAGCTGATCTCCCCCCCTCTCCTCCATGCCATCTTGGATTAAACATAGCCCTTTAAGCAAAACCAGTGGTCCAGAATCACTTCTGGGTTTGGGACAGATTGTACTATTCAGCAATTTTGAACCTATGCCTTCTTCCAGTCCTCTGTTCCTATCTGGATTTTGCGCATTGCCTCTTTCTTCCTTGCTGCTCATGAGACTGCTGTTGGCAAGAGCTCTCAGTTTCTTCATGTTCCTTCCTTTACGCACTCATATCCCTTCCAAAGACTTCATTTTTTTACCACATTTACAGACTCTATCTCATAGCAGACAACTTTTGTACTTCATCATTGCCCAAGACAAGGATTCCTTCTTCTTAGCATCAAGCTTAATTTGTTTCAGCCATATTTCAGCCTTATTAAACTTCCAAGGGTTTATCGGGATGTATAGCAGTGATCCTACTGCTTGTGCTTAGCAGATAAGATCAAGCTTAATCACTGAAATTGTGTTTTGTCAATCTTACCAGTAAGGCGAAATGAAGTATCACCCATATAACTCCAAGAGATGTCACCAACAGGTCATACCGGTTTCTTCTGCTTTGCCAGAAGCCAGAAGGTGACATGGCAATAATCTTCATCGTGACCTATGGATAAAAATGATTTCTCAGTTGTACTGAAGCAATGGTTAATTCTTACTATAAGAACCTCTAAAATGTTTGACTGAGTTCATCTTACGAATGTTTTCAAACAACCAAGGACAGCTTTCATGTCAGCTAAATGTTCCCATGAAGGCAAGTTAGGCTGCTAGACTAACTGGATCATATAAGCTTCTGACAGATGGAGGAAAGCTGGTACTTGTGGAAGACCACAGATGACTGAGACGAGGGGATAAGCAGTATTCTGGAACTGTCTCTCTCCATCAAGTGTTGAAGGAGTGCAGATGACCACCTCAGACTGAACACAATGTATAGATTGCTGAGGTGAATGTGGGCTTAAGATTTCTAATAGTTAAGCAAGTTATGAAGTTAGAAAAATATTATATTGATAATGTGTAGCTGAAAGAGCTAGTAGTATACTATCTATCTAGCTGTCCACAGGCTAGGCTAAAATCCATAAGCGCATTTGAACTCAAGAATATAATTGTGTTCTGTAGCTCCCATATGTCAAATTTAAAAGCATTTCTGTATTGCAAATATTTCTTGCTTTAAAGAATGATCCGTACTCAGCACCATCTGTACTTAGCAGCATATAAGAGCAGAAAGCTAAGAACGGTAAAGGCAGTAAATTTTACAATGCTCCTGGTAAAAAACAGCAGCCAAAGTGCTTGACATGTCCAATACAGGCAATAGGAGTGCAGGTAGGAAGCTTAAGAATAGATACTGGTAAGAAATAGTAACAATAGCTAACAGATATCGAGGTAGGGTGATGCAGGTAAAGGGGACACGAGAGAGTTTCTCATACACAATTTGTATCAAATCTCAAAGCAAGTCAAGTGTTACTGTATAAAGGCTATAAATGTCAAGCATTCATTATATGATTCTTTCCATCCCACTTTGCAACACTGCCATTTAGTAGGATTCTTTACATTTCTGAAATCTAAACTGTATATAAAGGGACACTAGTTTGATGTAAAAGTCTGATTTTCCAATTAGTTTTTTGCTGTATAATGTTTTCTCAAGCCTGACTACAAAATGAAGAATATGGTCTCTGAATCTGTAATTAGCATTTGAGGTACCTGAAGATATCTTGCCTCACCTCTATCCAGCCAGCTGAGATACCCTAGAATATTGGAGATAGATGCATAGGGCTGGCAGGGATGACACAAGACGGGCAAACACTCCTGCCCTTCTGTGGCAGCTAGTGGAGGTGAGAAGAGATCAGCTAGGGTACACAAAAAAGGTTTTGATGCCTTCAGTTATTTAGGCAACTGAATCTCACCCTACATACCCCTTGATCACAGTGACAGCTTAAACACCAACCTCACACGTAGAATTTAAACACCTAAGTTCAGGTGTCTATAACCTTGAACTTAATACCACACCACGCAAATAAAAAAATCACATGTCACTTTATTTTGTGATCATCAGTATGGCAGCAAAAGTGAGATCTCCAAATTCTTCCTGTTCTTCTATACCCCATATACTGCTATGAGCAGTGTAGGTTTAATCAGGAGTCCTCAGACTGGACACAGGGCCATTAGCTATGCAGAAAGCTTTGGCCTTCCTCATAGACCATGTCTGCTAATGGTAGCAGACCATGTACATCGCAGAGTCTGTAACCAGACTGTGCTACATTAGCGCCTGGGCAGAAAGCTGCTTCCTCTGTTCATAAATTCTGTGCGCTCACAGTGTGATAGCTAGCCTGTTGAGACAGTCAACAAATTTTTCTTGGCTCTGACAAAGTTCCTTTGAAATTCTAGAAGTGTATTTGTTTCCCCTGGCAGTATATGAGAAAAAAGTATTTCTAAAGACATTGTTACTAGGTAAATTAAAACCTGTCTGAGTATGATACAAATCAAACTTTTCTGTGTTTGCTCAGTCTCTCAAGAGATATTGATTTCTCCTGGGTAGGGAAAAAAGAAGCAACAACACGGACATACTCTAGCTACAGCTGCTGCAAGGTATTCACTTCATTGTTTATTCATTACTGCTGGCAAAACCTATCACTGGAACATAGGAACTGTCATATTGGATTAGGGCAGTGGGAAACATAGTCTACTATCCTGTTTCTGATAGCGGTCAGTATCAGCTATTCAGAGGGGACTGAAAAGAAAACACTCTACCACAAACTTATAAAAGAATTGTGTACTAACCTAACCACAGAGGAAGCATCTTCTTTAACCTCATAAATGTTTGCTTTGTTACACTACAGATAACCTTATACATAGAAAAAATAAATATGCTTTTTAAAATGTGTTTAAGTCCTTATATTCCAATCTTATGAAAACACGCTAATTACACCTTGCACAGTTGGTTGTGGTGACAATTTTCTCAGATAGAGGACCGTTACCACACAGGAACCAGGTCTGTGCAACAAAAGACAGACAACACTGGAATTTGACTTAGCTTATTTAAAGGTATTAAAATGAAATATGGTACTTAAAAAGAACCAAAACAAAACTGAGAGAGGTTTGATGATGTCACAGCTACAGAATAGTGGGGATTAATGCACCCTGTTCCAACGGACCAGGCAAAATATAAATGGATTGAGCAGAACTTCCATGATACAACACAGACCTTGTGTGGTACGGAGTGACTTTAATCTGAGATTACTGCAAGAAAAGAGTTCACTGGGTTGACCAAAACACAAGCTGAAGTGCTCAGAGTTGAATATATATAAAAGGACACAAAGCTCAAGGTGGTAGAGAAGTATGACTACAACAAATTAAAAGTTTATTCCTACAGTACATGTTAAAAGACAAGTGACATGGAGAGCCCCAGATGTACATGTTCAGAAATAAAAGCCTTAGTGAAGAATGAGACAACATCCCTAAAGCCAAAATGAAATATATACATACTAGTCTTAATCTCAGGAAGTCATAAAATACATTACCTCAAGGACAAAAATGAAGGTGAACACAACAGACATTGCTGCTAAAGGCACAGTCACCGGATCTGCAGCATCCCACTGAAATGCAAACAAAATCTATTCATAGGAGAGTAGCTGTTAAACAGAACTAAATCCTTTTCTTTGCCTTAACTTTTCTTGCAGGTTTTGTTAATGAATAGATTTCACTTTAAAATATACTCAGACAGGAATGGCATCTTGGTGTATTCCTCTCTCTCAGATTTACAGCTTAACAGGAAATTAAAAATAGCGGACCAGACTACAAAAAGGCAGAAATTGACTCAGCTCCACAAGTTACAATTAATCTACAGTGATCTGTGCCAACTGAGATTGCTATATC